AGTCCAGATAGGTGAATCCATAGAGAGAGAAATATTGGTGGTTACCAGGATCTAGAAGGAGGGCAATGGGAAGTGACTGCTTAATCAGTGCAGGGTTGATAAGTATGTTCTGGCAGTAGACAGTGGTGATGCTTGGATAAAATTGGAAATGCACTTCATGCCACTGAAGTGTACCTTTTAAAAATATGAAAACATTAAATTTTATTGGAGGTAAATTCTATAAGATAGTATATATATGGTAAACCTTCCAAGAACAAATCAAGACCAATGCAATGGAAGGGGAGGGGAGGGCAGTGCTGGGGCTGGGGCTGGCGTTGATGGTGGGTCAGGAGCTGGTGCCAGCTGTGGTGCTGCTGGGAGCTCTAGCTCTGCATTTGCTGGAGAGGGTGTTTCTGCCACTGGAGATGCTCCTAGAACTGCTTCTGCTGTTGACTCCAGATCTCGAGCTGGTGCTGGCTCTAAATCTGAAACTGGAGCTGGTTCTGGAGCTTGATGTAGTGCCACTGCTGCTACTAGTGATCATGCCGGGGTTGCCTTAAGCATTGGAGCTGGAGCTGTGGATGGAGTTGGCTGGAGCTGGTGCTGTAGTGGGTACAGGTTCTAGCTCTTTAGATATTTCTAGAGCTGCTCTGGCTCTGGAGTTGCAGCTGGCCATGGAGCTGGAGCTGCCACAGCTCTTGAGGTGGCTTTTGAGCTTGGGCTGGAGCAGGGCCTGGAGGTGCAAGAAGACAAAAGATTACCTATGTGCCTGACGTTCCATGTTCCTTCCAAGACAAAGATATTTTCACTGTCTTTCAGAGAAGTCCCACTCCAAGAACCCACCTCCAGAAAGTCTTCCCAGACTGCAGTTCACCCAGTCATTGGTCTGTGTTTCACATTGCTCCTGGTCCCACTCCAGTGAGGCATCCTTGTCCCATCCCAACGCACTAACATGAACCCACCCGCAGTCCTCCTCACCCTCAGTTTCTGCCTCAGTGAGCTCTGGAGGCTCCAGCTGGGCTAGAAGAATAAGCGTCTAGTGTTCCAGGTCTGAGCCAGGCAGGCTGAGCTGCAGGTAGGCCAGCAGCATCTCGAGACAAGGAAATTCTGGAGGCTCATTGAAGTCCCTTGGGTGCTGCACCAGCCCAGGCAGGATGGAGGACATGGCTCTGGGGGAGTCAGGTGGGCAGCAGAGTCAGAGGCCTGGCCTTTCCTTCCACAGGGCCCTCCGAGAACTCCCCTAGGGGTGCAGGGCTCCAGTGCCTGTCCTGCTCATCTACAGGCCAGCCCCACCCATGCCTACCCCGAGTCTGGCTGTCCTGGCCCAAGCAGGCCTGGTCACTGAGGAGGTGCTGGCAAATCCTCCATAGGAGGAAGCCCTCGATCAGTGCTGTGACTCCCTGTCCCTTCTTCAGGGGCACCTGGCCCACTCCTCTCTCTGTGTCCCTGGCCTCCACCCCACTGGACTGTCACCCCCTGAGGGCAGGGAGAGTGGTGTCTGTTCTATTCATTGCACTCGCTGGCACGCAGTAGGGGCTCCAGAAGTGTCTGATGAATGGGGGCACTGAGGGAGCCTGGCCTCTTGCCCAGCCTTTCCACAGCCTTGTAAAACCTCTCTTATTAGCACATGCACCAATGTGCTGCCTGATTGTTGGGTGCTTCCTGTGGGGCTGCTCTTCCGGCTGACACTAATCTCCTGAAGGGGGAGGAAGGGACCCCTGAGCACAGCTGAGCATCACCATGGAGGTTCCAGCCACAGGTGGGAGCAGGGTGCTCTCCACACCTCCTGATCTGGGTCCCAGGATGGGGGTCTGGGGTGTGAGCAGGGCTGGGATGGGAGGGTTGGGGTGGGTTCTCTTGGGGCTGATTCTGTCCTCCAGCCTCCCCTACCTCCCTATGGTGCCTGTGGTCCCATCCCCAGATCTCTTTGACTCTGTTCCCCCTGCAGGGGAAGCCCCCAGGCCTCAGCCCTGTAGCAGGAACCACAAGACATGTGGGATCCTGGGTTCTGCCAGCCCCTCTCTATCCACAGGCCCCCACTCTCTACAGTTCAGCGGAGACAGCAGCCCCTCCATCTTGAGCCAAACCCCACTCATGTTTTCAGTTGCTCGTATGGTTCTCTGTCCCCGTCAGTGTAAGGGAGGTCACATCTGTATGTAGAGGAGGCCATGAGGTGTCACGTCTGCTGTACTGTGGACTCTACCTGCTGCTGATGTCTAGGGTGACTCTGACTCCCCGAGTAGAAGGGAAGGCCAGGAGCACAGGGGTTGATCTCTGCACTGTCATTGCATTGTCCTCAGTGCCGCTAAGAGTATCTGCAGATAGTGTGGCTTCATGTGTATTTGCCGAAGGATTGAACCCCACCAGCCCCTTACAGGTTATCTGAGTGGGCCTGGGGTCTCCCTGCCATTCTCAGGAATCCTTGCTCTAGATACACCCAGAACCTTGTAGGTGGATCTAAATCTCCTTTACAAATAAGAAAACAGCTTAGCTTAAAACTGTGGAATCAGTGACGGGTGAGGCCAAGGCCTTCTTATGGAGGACAGGAAAATGCTACGTGAGAACAGCCACCGTCCCTCCAGCAGATGTGGCCATAGAGCCAGGCCCGGGGAAGCACGTTCCATGGAGGGCTCGTTTTAGTCCCAACCACAACCGTTTTTATTATGGTTGTTCAAGTTTCCATCTCACTCAGGCTAAGAGAAGTGTAGTCCTAAGACTCACAGCCAGTAGGTGGCTGAGTGACACTGTGAGATAGAGAATGGGCACGCACCTTCTGAAGAGCACGTCTAGTTNAGTCCAGATAGGTGAATCCATAGAGAGAGAAATATTGGTGGTTACCAGGATCTAGAAGGAGAGCAATGGGAAGTGACTGCTTAATCAGTGCAGGGTTGATAAGTATGTTCTGGCAGTAGACAGTGGTGATGGTTGCATAAAATAGGAAATGCACTTCATGCCACTGAAGTGTACCTTTTAAAAATATGAAAACATTAAATTTTATTGGAGGTAAATTCTATAAGATAGTATATATATGGTAAACCTTCCAAGAACAAATCAAGACCAATGCAGTGGAAGGGGAGAGGAGGGCAGTGCTGGGGCTGGGGCTGGCGTTGATGGTGGGTCAGGAGCTGGTGCCAGCTGTGGTGCTGCTGGGAGCTCTGGCTCTGCATTTGCTGGAGAGGGTGTTTCTGCCACTGGAGATGCTCCTAGAACTGCTTCTGCTGTTGACTCCAGATCTCGAGCTGGTGCTGGCTCTAAATCTGAAACTGGAGCTGGTTCTGGAGCTTGATGTAGTGCCACTGCTGCTACTAGTGATTGTGCCGGGGTTGCCTTAAGCATTGGAGCTGGAGCTGTGGATGGAGTTGGCTGGAGCTGGTGCTGTAGTGGGTACAGGTTCTAGCTCTTTAGATATTTCTAGAGCTGCTCTGGCTCTGGAGTTGCAGCTGGCCATGGAGCTGGAGCTGCCACAGCTCTTGAGGTAGCTTTTGAGCTTGGGCTGGAGCAGGGCCTGGAGGTGCAAGAAGACAAAAGATTACCTATGTGCCTGACGTTCCATGTTCCTTCCAAGACAAAAATATTTTCACTGTCTTTCAGAGAGGTCCCACTCCAAGAACCCACCTCCAGAAAGTCTTCCCAGACTGCAGTTCACCCAATCATTGGTCTGTGTTTCACATTGCTCCTGGTCCCACTCCAGTGAGGCATCCTTATCCCCTCCCAATGCACTAACATGAACCCACCCGCAGTCCTCCTCACCCTCAGTTTCTGCCTCAGGGAGCTCTGGAGGCTCCAGCTGGGCTAGAAGAATAAGTGTCTAGTGTTCCAGGTCTGAGCCAGGCAGGCTGAGCTGCAGGTAGGCCAGCAGCATCTCGAGACAAGGAAATTCTGGAGGCTCATTGAAGTCCCTTGGGTGCTGCACCAGCCCAGGCAGGATGGAGGACATGGCTCTGGGGGAGTCAGGTGGGCAGCAGAGTCAGAGGCCTGGCCTTTCCTTCCACAGGGCCCTCCCAGAACTCCCCTGGGGGTGCAGGGCTCCGGTGCCTGTCCTGCCCATCCACAGGCCAGCCCCACCCATGCCTACCCCGAGTCTGGCTGTCCTGGCCCAGGCAGGCCTGGTCACTGAGGAGGTGCTGGCAAATCCTCCATAGGAGGAAGCCCTTGATCAGTGCTGTGACTCCCTGTCCCTTCTTCAGAGGCACCTGGCCCACTCCGTCAGGGGCACCTGGCCCACTCCTCTCTCTGTGTCCCTGGCCTCCACCCCACTGGACTGTCACCCCCTGAGGGCAGGGAGAGTGGTGTCTGTTCTGTTCATTGCACTCGCTGGCACGCAGTAGGGGCTCCAGAAGTGTCTGATGAATGGGGGCACTGAGGGAGCCTGGCCTCTTGCCCAGCCTTTCCACAGCCTTATAAAACCTCTCTTATTAGCACATGCACCAACGTGCTGCCTGATTTTTGGGTGCTTCCTGTGGGGCTGCTCTTCCTGCTGACACTAATCTCCTGAAGGGGGAGGAAGGGACCTGAGCACTCACTGAATCCCCTGAGCACAGCTGAGCATCACCATGGAGGTTCCAGCCACAGGTGGGAGCAGGGTGCTCTCCACACCTCCTGATCTGGGTCCCAGGATGGGGGTCTGGGGTGTGAGCAGGGCTGGGATGGGAGGGTTGGGGTGGGTTCTCTTGGGGCTGATTCTGTCCTCCAGCCTCCCCTACCTCCCTATGGTGCCTGTGGTCCCATCCCCAGATCTCTTTGACTCTGTTCCCCCTACAGGGGAAGCCCCCAGGCCTCAGCCCTGTAGCAGGAACCACAAGACATGTGGGATCCTGGGTTCTGCCAGCCCCTCTCTATCCACAGGCCCCCACTCTCTACAGTTCAGCGGAGACAGCAGCCCCTCCATCTTGAGCCAAACCCCACTCATGTTTTCAGTTGCTCGTATGGTTCTCTGTCCCCGTCAGTGTAAGGGAGGTCACATCTGTATGTAGAGGAGGCCATGAGGTGTCACGTCTGCTGTACTGTGGACTCTACCTGCTGCTGATGTCTAGGGTGACTCTGACTCCCCGAGTAGAAGGGAAGGCCAGGAGCACAGGGGTTGATCTCTGCACTGTCATTGCATTGTCCTCAGTGCCGCTAAGAGTATCTGCAGATAGTGTGGCTTCATGTGTATTTGCCGAAGGATTGAACCCCACCAGCCCCTTACAGGTTATCTGAGTGGGCCTGGGGTCTCCCTGCCATTCTCAGGAATCCTTGCTCTAGATACACCCAGAACCTTGTAGGTGGATCTAAATCTCCTTTACAAATAAGAAAACAGCTTAGCTTAAAACTGTGGAATCAGTGACGGGTGAGGCCAAGGCCTTCTTATGGAGGACAGGAAAATGCTACGTGAGAACAGCCACCGTCCCTCCAGCAGATGTGGCCATAGAGCCAGGCCCGGGGAAGCACGTTCCATGGAGGGCTCGTTTTAGTCCCAACCACAACCGTTTTTATTATGGTTGTTCAACTTTCCATCTCACTCAGGCTAAGAGAAGTGTAGTCCTAAGACTCACAGCCAGTAGGTGGCTGAGTGACACTGTGAGATAGAGAATGGGCACGCACCTTCTGAAGAGCACGTCTAGTTCCTGTTGGGTGGAGATGAAGGCCCGATAAGTGCATAGGAAGAAATGGACGTAGGAGGGTTACTGCCCAGTAAGGCAGGCATCAGTGCCCTACCAGCTTCTCAGTGTTCCTGCCTGCACTGTTCACAACAGGAAGGTCTCATCCTGGTTTATGGCCAACTGGTTTTCACCCTGGGATGGGACGGAGGAGGGGTATGTAGTCAGTGGCCATATCATGAACCACCAGGAGGGTCGGGGACTGGAGCTCAGACCAAACTCTAAATCCCTGAGTGGCTTGTGCCAGAGTGGGGACATCAGAGCCCAAAAAACTGCTTTCAGTGTTAAAAACACAATTTTAGAAAGGAATAATAAGAAATGTACCTTCAGGTGAGTTTGTTAGCTGAGTAAAGGTAATACCTGGGCGCACTAAGAGCATTATCTCAGTTATTCCTGGAAAAACATCCCATTCTAGAGAGGAGAGAACAGAGGCTTATCCTGGGGTGGGCAGGGTCAGTGTATTAGCTCCCATAGGACATTCCCTGCAGCGCTGTTGAAGTGGCCACAGGAAGGAATCACATCAAGGTCCCACAGCCGTGAAAGGCTGAACCACTGGGATAACTGGCCTCTCTTGGGGAATGTCGTGCAGCCCAGTGACACTCCAGATTCTGGCCTGAATAGGCCACAGGGATGTGTTCCTTGATACAGATATTGTGGACATTGTTCAGAATAGTCTGAGCCCCTGTCCTTTCTGGGTAAGCACAGCCCTAGTAACCATGATGATGTGAGACTTGG